TGTTCTTTCTTTGGACAATATTGAGCAGTGTACTTAGATTCTCTACAATATAAGTACAATCTTTCATGACAGCGATGAATCTTATCTTGCTCAGTAAGAAGTTTGAAATGTATCGCATCAATTTGCATATCTTCTACTTTTGAATGTATGTATTCAGGAAGTGTTGGTGTTGCCATTGAATTATAGTAACGTTAGAGCCTACTTGTCTGACTCTTTGATCAAAAATTTAAAAAGTCAATTGTTATACTACATAGCAAAGTCAATCATTTGACTCAATGTTTGAAGATCAGATAAGTTAAAAATCAATTTTCTTACCTCATATTGTAATCCATAGAAAAATTGGCTAATAAGTGTAGCATCATTCCACTTATTATCAGTTACAAGTTGTCAAAATTGTAAAGCATATAATGTTATAGATCGATTCTCTTATTGCAAAATATAGATCGTATTGGTCGTAACACAAATTGCATCATGTTTTCTATACATGGTTCAAAATTCCACCAAAATAGCCTCCAAATTATCTAATATTGAACCTTATTATTCAAGAAAAGATGAAAACGACAATAATATTGAACCTTAAAGAAGTGTATTAATGAATCTAACTTGTGATTCTGAAATTGGATAGCTTAGAGATTAAAGTTCAATCACAAGTTGTACTTGATTGATAAATCTTTAAAACTTGGACCTTATGCAATTAAACTTCTATCAAAGACATGAATCTCAAAGAAAGAAAATTCTCAATATATCCTTATATCATTGAAAGAAACTAAAAAGACATCCAAAGATGATATAATATTGGACTAGAATGGCTATTACTTAAAATAAGAAGACTAAAAAGTCTTAAAATAAGACTAAAGATTATAAAGGCATTGACAAGAGTGAAACACGCTTCACTCTTCACTCTTTCTTCCATATATACTTTCTAATTAGGAGCTACATGGTGATATTCTATAAGACCTCTAACATGTGTTGACTTTGCTAGCTATATGTCTTAACTTGTAAGGCAAGTTATCTATATATGTACCACATAATTAACTTGTTTCACAGGCTACTACACAGAGTTAACTTGTTCTACAAGCTACCAACATGTGATTAATTTATTGGCCAAATTTCTAACCTAAAAACACATCTAAAGTCAAAAATGCATCCATCAAGCTTCTAAGAAGCTTTTAGGAAGCTTTTCTACAAGATTTTATGAAATTAATCTATATTTACTTACTTCTATTTAATTATATAAATAACTATTAGAGTAAATGTATATGTCTATTACACTACTCTACCTTCTAGGGATGAGTTTCACGAGCAGCAATCATCATCTTTCATAGATCTTTACAATTCTTCATCTAATTTTTGATAGATGTTGTCAATAAAAGGCCTCAACCTTTTTTGTTGCATTTACAAACTTCTTTGTTAGCTCTCATGTACGTTCACTAATATAATATCTACGCTAATGAATAAGATATTCTAACCTATTTTGGTGCCATCTTGAATCTAAGACTTCTTCTATGTCAAATTCTTGATTATTCTCCACTTCTATAGGAAGAAGTTGCATTTGTCTTCTTTTCGAGATATTCATTATCTTATATGGCTCAAAAAAGGACATATAAAATACAAGGTCGTTCTTCATAGACTCCGGTAGATATAATCGATAAGCAATAAGATTGACTTATTCACTAATAGGAAAAGATCAAAGTTTTCAATAGTCTAATTTATTACAATGACAAGTAGTCTTGATATTGTGATGAAGTAACCATACCTTATCACCTACATTGAATTGTAGTTGCTACTTGCAAAAGATATCTATGTAGGTATTTTGTTGTTCTTGAGCTTCCTTTAATTGTGTCTTCATTGTTGCATACAACTTTGATAAATAATTTGTTAAATTTTTGGTGTATGATTATTAAATTTTACACAGTCAAAAATATCAAGTCATAGAATAATCATAAGTGGTAAAAAAAGGTGTTTGTTGAGTAGAAAAATTTACTAAATTATTGTATGCAAACTCTACCAATAGTAAAAGAATTGTCTAATCATCTTGATGATAGTTGATGGTACACCTCAAATACTACTCTAAAACTTAATTCACTCATTTCGTTTACCCATCAGTTTGAAGATGAAAAGTCGAAGAGAGCTTTATATCTACCTTTAGAATTTTAAATAATTTTTTTTAAAATCTTGATACAAATTGAATCCTCCTATCCGATATAATATCCTTTGGCAATCCATGATAGCAATAGATATTATTAATAAAAAGCTTAATTCTTTCTTCATTTGAAATAGATTTTGTATATGATACAAAATGTGCCATTTTGGTGAAGTAATCTACGATTACAAATATAGAATCATATAAACTTGAACTTAAAAGATCTATAATAAAATCCATAGAAATGAAAGACCATGGTTATTCGAATATAGTCAATAGTTGGAAAAGTCCATAGAGTTGATAATAAGGAGTTTTTGATCTTGAATAAATGTCACATGACTAGATAAAGTCTTTTACCACCTTCCACATTTGTCTTGCCACCAAAAATTTCTAGATTTAAGCTCTAAAATTTTATTGTATTCAAAATGTCCTACTGCTAAAAAGTCATGACGTACTTAAAGAACACATAAATATGCTTCTCATTTTGGAACATATAGGCATTCTTCAAAATAGAGAAGGTTGTTCTTAAACTTAAACTTTGAGACTTAAAAGAAAGTTTCTTGATATCATGAATAAGAAGATCAAAAGACATACTTGATTGAATTTTTTTGACAAAGGTGAAATCAATAGTCAATGTTGATTTCATTGCTCAAAGATAAAAATACTCTAGCTTCAAGAGGATTATTTTTTGTTGATTAAAAGATACGTCTCCTTCTTTTGGTCCAAGATAAGGATCTCTAGAAAGAGCATTTGATAAACCTTGTTGTTTTTCAGGTTGATATGTGATCTTGAAATCAAATCTTGATAATGATATGCTGTAATGGACTTGGCGACCATTCAGAACACGTACTGATATGAAATATTTGACGTTCTTGTGATTGATATATATATTATGACTAGACTTGAAGCACCTTCTAGATAATGATGCCATTGTTGAAATAAATCCATAATTACAAGTTCTTTATCGTAGATCTCATAGTTAATCTCGGCTATTGAAATTTTTTTGGAATGGAAAGCTATTAAATGGAATTTATCATTTATTTCTATTTGTGACAATACTGCATTGAAAGCAAAGTTTGATGCATTTTTTTCCATAAAAAATATCTTAAAAAAGTTGATGCGATATAAAGTTGGTGTAGAAATAAATTCCTTCTTCAAAGAAACAAATGATGCTTTGGATTTTTTATTCTACTTAAGTTTGTCTTTACAAGTCAAATATGTAAGTGGAACTACAACTTGAGAAAAGTACTTGATAAAAATTTGGTAATAATTAACAAAGTCCAAAAAGCATTGCACATCTCTAACTGTTCTTAGGATCTCCTAATCTATTATAGTGTGGACCTTCTTTGAATCCATCATAAGCCCTTCATTAGAAATGATGTATCTCAAAAAATCAACTTGAGTAGTGTAGAATACACACTTTTTCATCTTTGTGTATAATCTTGCATCTCTTAGTTTTTGTAACACATGATAAACATGAACTTCTACTCTTCTATATTCTTAGAATAGATTAAAATATTGTCTAAATAATAGACCACACAATCATCAAAAAACTCACAAAAGACATCATTTATTAGATGTTAGAAAGTACTTGGTCCATTCATGAGTCCAAAAGGCATGATATTATATTTAAAATGTCCATATCCAGTTTGAAAAGCAATCTTCCATTTATCTCCTTCTTTGATGCGAACTAGGTTATATGCTCTTCATTGATCTATTTTTGTATAGATCTTTGCTTCATTTAATTGATAAAGAAGTCTTGAAATCAAATATAGAAGATTCTTATTCTTGATGGTGAACTTGTTAAGTCCTCAATAATCCTCACACATCTATAGAAATTCGTTCTTTTTCTTCAAAAATAAGGTAGAAGCCCCGTTAGGAGCCTCGACTGGAGAATCGCATATAAAGTTTTTAATCAAGTTTTCATCAATGTAATCTTTGAGTGCAACCAATTCATTTTGTCATAGGCTATAGATTGGTCCAAATAATAGTTGAGTTCCTTCTTGAAGATTGATGGTACAATCATAAAAATAATGCTCTTGAAAAATATTTGTATTTTTTTTTTCTAAAACATCTTTAAAATCTTGATATTGACTAAGAATACTACTTAATATCTTTTCACCATCAACAATGGATGTTGCATATATAACAAAAGATGGTCCTTTATTTGTGGCATGCATGAAATTTTTTGCACTTATTAATAAAAGTTTGGATATATTAGACTTATGGATTTCTACTTGTCTAACAAGACCTTAAGCTAAACTATCAAAAAAATCGAGATTACAAGAAATCTAGTCTATTTGAAGATTATATCTTTTAAACTACAATAATCCTAAAATAATTGGATTAGAAAGAGACTTAATCACATTAAATATTATTATACTATTATAACTACTAATTACTACTTATGTAGGAATAGTTTCATATATAACATTTCCAAAAGATAATGAACATCCATCTATTACTTTCATATGCACAAGTTTGATTTTCTTAACTAAGGATATATCTTGTTTTTTGACAAAGTCTTCATCTATAAAATCAAGTTGAAACTCCTAAATCCAATAAAGCTAAGACTTTGATTTTTTGGTTCTAAACACACTTCTATTGTAAAACAAGGTGAAAAATCATAGGTGAGAATAAGACCTTTGTTAGATGTTACATATAATTCCAACCTCATGGTCTCTATTGTAATTTTTGTAATTATTGACATGAAATATTTCTCTTTCATTTCTGATATGGAATGCATCTAATACCATTTTCACATTCATCAACACACTATAAAATACGAACAAGCTACAACATCAATTTCTAAATGGACTCAAAAAATATTTGAAAAATACAACTTGACAATAAAATATGAACAACAAGCTACAACTTCAATTTCTAAATGGACTCAAAAAATACAACTTGTGAATCTCAATTGCTCAATTATTTAGTAGGTGATGTAAATTTGTCGTGAATCCAAAAATTTGTGCTCATTGAACTTCAAAGCTTTGCTTGAGCGATCACAACGAACTAATTATTTTGGAATCTCATCACTAGAAAAGATTGCAGAGGTTACTGTCAAGATAAGCTGAGCAGTTGGGGCCTCACTGCCTTGAAAGCCAACACCACTGTGTTACAGACAACCAGAGTAATTTTAGCCCACCTCAGGATTCGGAACCAAATTCACGTTCTGTTCTTCGTTTTCGTCACAAAGTCACAGCTGATTGCTCTTTCAAGGTCCTAAGATACTCTCGCATCAACTTGAACTTATTTTTGCTTAGAGAATGAAGATAGCTCCAAGTGTAGATCCCAGTGTCATGCAAGTCGTCAAACGATATTTTGTGGTAAGGCATCAATGATATGTTTTAGATGCTTCTGATCACAGGAGGGGTCTGTGTTCAAAAACAGTGTTGAGAAACAAAATAGGATGTGCATGGTGCAAATACTTCTGAACAACTGTGCACCATAACATGTACAAGATGTCTCTAGAGTTTCAGTTGGGAGAACTTGAGCCTGCCACTTGATGCAAGAACAGATTCATTGATTAACATAGAAGAAAAAACCTGAAGTTTAGTGGGTGAATTCCACAGTACTCTTGGGCATTCAGATTGTAATTTTAATAGAGTTTACCTGATTGCATAATTTCCAGTGGGTTCAACTGATATGATGGTGACATGTCTCCTTCTTACAACTGCCTGCACATTGTCATTTCCACTTGGTTGGAACATTGCTCACAATGTAGATCCAGACAGAGGTTTAAAGGAAAAAATTGCGGCGACATCCATTGGCAGTGCAAGGCTTGGAGTTCAAATTCAAAATTGCGAGTAGAAGGTTAGGAGCCTAAAATATTTTTTCGTATTATTAATGAAAATGACCGCAACGCCAGATATAAAGATGAAGAAATATCCTAATTGTTCCTCTCGCTGAATGACGCTGACTGTCAACTGTAGAACTTTTGACACAAAGAAATTCTGCAGAGTAGATGTATTTGTCTCTGTTGTTAAACTCCACTTCCAAAGCCTGCAAATATAAAGAAGTCGAAATATTCTCTCATTGAAGTTACAGGAAAAATGGCACAACTTGATGCAAGCCTACACAAAGGTAACAATGTCACCAACACATCCAATTAACGAAACTAACTCCTCTAACCTATGAATCCTAAACCTAGAAGGTAGTCACATGTCCACGGTAATCGAAATTGTGTGTCACAAGCGAATCTACGAAACTAGCTACTCGTAGAAACGCTGCATAAGAAGAAAGCTTATAGAATGCGAAACAAAAGGATGGCAAGTACAAGATGAGATAAGACGTTTACCAACGTGGATTGCAAACAGCTTACCTTCAAATTGGGGGTAGAGGGAGGGACAGCCCGCAAAACAATTTTGGTGGCACAAATGGGGGAGGAAGAGAAAGAGGTAGCGAGGCCTCGTATAAGACAATCCCAAGACAATCGTCCCAGGACAATCTGTTTCATACAAGCAATTGGAAAACATCAATCTCAGTTGGTACAACTCCAAGATACCACAGTTGCTCAGACTTACAGAGTCTTAATCACTCAAGATGGCTCGAGTCTCAAATAAGACACCTCTTCAGGACAAAAACTCAATTTTCTTGCAAGTCCAATCAACCACATACCGCTTTCTTCTCTTTTCCTACAAAAGACAAACCCGTCTAACTCTCTGAATCGACCCCTAGGAACAATTACAAGCAGTTGTAGCACGATCACACAAGAGGCCCTCAAAAACTATTTAAAAATCCTTCCACTAAGCCAATTGATGGTAGCCGGCTGCTCAACCAAGATTGAGACACATAACAACAAAACTTACACAATCCAGATTCTCTATGAAAGCCATCAATTCATCCTCCAGATTCAATACACAGATTCCTCCAACCAAAACTTTTGCCCATGCACAAACAACAATCGCATCAAGAGCTAAACCACATAGACAAGATTCCACAAGGAAACAAACTTACGTTGATTCGCGTCCTCGGGGACCGCTCCAACAGGAGCATCTTCCGTTTTTTCCACCATTAGACTCCTTTTCACAATCAAGCCCCTCACACAAGAACCTCTACCACAATCCTACACTCTTCTACTTTCATGCAAACTAACACAATTACTCCAAGGTTACAAAAACACATCAATTCAAAGCTTGAAAAATCCTAGCTCAAAAACCCAACTTCCAAAAAACATAGTTACCATCCAAACCTAACTCTCCAACATATAAAACAGCTTTTCATAATTTCTTCGCTACAGAATAAACAGCGTGTATATAGCAAACTTGAGCAACTAGGTAACGAAACAAGACGTTTACACAACTCAATAATTGACAAATCTGACAAAGCAACTTTTACAGTTTGATCATGGAGCTGAAAAATCTCTCGCAATTTCCACAATTCAACTGATCCATAGTAGGAGCTTGAAGGGGAACACAGATACTTCGGGGAGGACCTTAGGGCGTCCCAAAGCCCTAAAAATCCAAAGAATCCCGGTTACTGTAGTACCGCAAAGACCGTGACCTGTTTATCTAGGAAATGATTATATCTTGCTGGACGTATCTACGTTTTTTCAAAAGAGGAAGCTGCTAGTGCTCCTGTTCGTAACTCTAGGGTGTGGATGAAAGGAACTTTGTAGGTGATATCGTATTAATACGTATGCAAAGCAATTAATCTACACCCAATTGTCATCGTGAGATCTAATATGCAATCTCAATTTCATGGGCAAAATTCACTATTGCAATACGTAAATTATACCAATTTTGTGATGTCTTCTTGTGTTTTTTACTCAAAGTTGAACTATCTTTGTCCAATCACATTGAATTTGGCACAAACCATTAAACAAAGAGGAGTTTTGAAGATACAATTCCAAATATAAAAATATAAAAATAAAGTATGTACAAGCAAGATCCATAATATTGGTGACACAACATAAAGTGCAAAAAAAAATGATGGTAACTTGAAAAAGGATTGTATAACATTAATTTTACAATGAAAACATAAAATTAATTTTAAAGACAACTATGGATATGTAAGAAATAACATACATAAGCATTTTGTTATGTAATTGATAAAAATAGAAACATATATAACGATGTCATAATAAAAAAAAAAAAATATAGATAGAATATGATATAAAACATTAAAATTTGAAGGATTGTGTATATAAGCAATCATTCCAACCAATCAACTTGTGGTAAAAATTCCGAAAATGATCTTTAATAAAACAAAATAACTATATAATATAAATTTCAAAACCTATCTCAAAATCTATATAGAATGTAATAAATCATTCAAGGTGTTATAAAAAGATTACAATTTAAAGTTCATATATTGATTGAATGTTATAAGGGGTCTTTATATCTAGCATCATAATTTAAAAGGGCATGGTATAAATGTTTTTCAAAAGTCCTCAACTTAGTGAAAACAAAACAAAATCTTCTTTAGAAGCCTTAAATATATTACAAAGTTAGTGGAGACTATGTTATGAAATGAACCGCTTTTATTTTTATTTTTAAACTGTAAGTCTAAATATGTCAAAAAATATCTTGATTCTAACCATTATACCAAATAAAAATAATTGGTTTCAGTTTTTTTGAGATCATTTTTAATTACTTTAGTGCTATACCAAACAAAACAAACAAACAAACAAACAAACAAAAACAGGTACATGTATAAGTATATATGATGTCTTATTCAATATGAAGAAATGCACAACTTTTTTTAAAAAAAGAGGCACATCTCTAAAGAAAACCAACTTTAAGATTGGCAATTCAAACCACATCTGTTAATGCATTATTTGTACAATAGAGTATTTAATTTTGATTCCATTGAATTTTTTGTTTTAATCTTTATAAAACATCTTCATCGTGGCTTATCGAAACAAATATTAACGCAAATGTTTGCAGTTAATTGAAGGAAGTTAGAGAGTAGACAGAAGTCAGGGGTCTAACTTTCAGGTCTGAATCGAAGGTTCGGCCAAAATTCGCTGTGAAAAGAAGTTTCTCCAATCGTCCCACCCCATCTTTCATCACCAAGTGCACGGCAGCAGCTGCATCAATTGTTGTGCACAATCCTTATAAATCAACGCAACAGATCAACTCCACCCAGAGTGGCGCCGATCACACAACCGTAAAGCAAAACCGTAATCCTCAGCGGCTAAAACCAGTTGACGACACGGGAAAACATAGAAACATGTATAAGCAAAACAGACAGCAGACGGTATGAAATTCAGGAGAAAGAGGAGATTGGTAGAGACCGATACTCGAAGTAAATATTAGTTTCTGGTTCAATGAAAACATCAAATGGAGGAGCTGCAGAGTAAGTGTAAGGCTGTGAATGCTGACCGCATTCAAAGCGACCATAGGATTAATTTCAAGCCCGATCACAGTTCCATGACCGCCAACAGACGTATCAGCGTGGAAAGCTAAACGCATCAAGCAACAAACTACTCCCGCATCACATTCTAGCAAATGAACCTTTGCTGAAGTTGTGAACACAGCTCAGGGACTTCATGCGCTGCAGCAAGCAGGCAAACCAAGTTGACAATCTTCGTTATGCAGCTTGGGATGGTGCGATCAAGGCGGGCTCTCCAGCAGCAGCGCGGGCCTCGTGGTTCTCAACTTCAACAGCAACTGGAGGCACATGTGGACGGGCCACCGGAGGACCTCCACAGAAGAGGTAATCGATCTCGCCAGGCAGGAAGGTCAGACTGGATTCAAGAGGAAGAATTGGGGGAATCGGATTGGAGCCCATCGTGACGGATTCACTCTGCAATTCACAATGACTACGCAACTTCTGAAGCCAAATCAGTGCAAGTCGAAACCGCACTCACTGAACTGAATTCACCGCCTCACATCAAGCTCGTCAAATCAACTAAATACTCGTCCCACAAAACACACTAAATCCGCGATGACAGATTTCGGTCTTCTATTTCTATCGAGCTCGGGGAGAACCTGGAGATATATATATGTTCGAGGTTTATTTGGATGAATTCCTCCTTCTCCATTGGATGGATGAAATTTTTTTCGGTGGCACGTATGAAATTTTGAGGGAGGGAGGGATCTCTCATCATCATAGGAGCAGCCGGGTCCAGACCGGGGGCATCGTCCTCACGTGAAGCCGTAACCCCATGGGAGGGAATCTCTGATGTTCCACCAAAGCACCGTAACCCACATGGTTGCATGCAACCATGGTGCAACCATGGCGACGGTGCAACCATGGCGCAACCATGGCGACGGTGCAGCCATGGCGCAACCATGGCGACGGTGCAACCATGGATGGCGACGGTGCAACCATGGCGCAACCATGGCGACGGTGCAACCATGGATGGCGACGGTGCAACCATGGATGGCGACGGTGCAACCATGGCGCAACCATGGCGACGGTGCAGCCATGGCGCAACCATGGATGGCGACGGTGCAACCATGGATGGCGACGGTGCAACCATGGCGCAACCATGGCGACGGTGCAACCATGGATGGCGACGGTGCAACCATGGCGACGGTGCAACCATGGATGGCGACGGTGCAGCCATGGCGCAACCATGGCGACGGTGCAACCATGGATGGCGACGGTGCAACCATGGCGCAACCATGGCGACGGTGCAACCATGGATGGCGACGGTGCAACCATGGCGACGGTGCAACCATGGATGGCGACGGTGCAACCATGGATGGCGACGGTGCAACCATGGCGCAACCATGGCGACGGTGCAACCATGGCGCAACCATGGCGCAACCATGGCCACGGTGCAACCAGAAATATTCCAAAACGCGCCAAATACGTGATTCATTCATCCAATGTGTGATGAAAGATGGGGTGGGACGATTGGAGAAACTTCTTTTCACAGCGAATTTTGGCCGAACCTTCGATTCAGACCTGAAAGTTAGACCCCTGACTTCTGTCTACTCTCTAACTTCCTTCAATTAACTGCAAACATTTGCGTTAATATTTGTTTCGATAAGCCACGATACAGATGTGCCCCTCACCCTCATATAATCTCTTGAAGGTCCATTGCAACTGAGACCTCTGCCGAGTAGCAAAGAACCTGGACATTGTAGAATTTGAATATTGTTGATAGAAGATACTTATTAGGCCATTTTTCCAATGTAAGAACTGGTGTGCCGATGATTATCAAATCCCAGTGCAGAATCCATTTCGCTTGGGTCAAATTATTTTCTGCAACTATCAATTTTATTTATTGTGCTTCACATATTTGTGAAGCACAATGACTAAATATGTGTGTGAGTGTGTGTGTTGTACATAGTTATACATTAAAAAATAGGATTATGGTTCTATGTGATTGTCATATCGTGTGTTTTACAGTGATTGGTTTTTTATTATTGTTATTATTATTATTATTATTATTACTTCACACTACGTTTTTGAAGTGTAGAGCATACTGGAATAGTAGATTATCAAAATATGGAGCATACACAACGAGTGTCTTTTAATCTCACTGATTCAAATGAATTGGTTGAGTTCCATATGAAGGAGGTTCATAAATCGTGTCAAATTTTCGGAGGTTTACTGTTGGTGATTTTTGCACGTTTATTTTGTCTCATAAATTCAATAATCCTTTAAAGAGTAACTCAATCATGAATTATTAAAAGTTAGCTTTTTTCATTTTCATTTGAACACTTTGCTGCATCTTAGTTATGAACTCTTATTGAAAAGCAAATCTTGAGTATATTCTCATTTTTCATATGTTTTTTTTTTTTTTTTTGTAGTTGCTTTTACACATGTGTTCCTTGTTTACAGATGTATACCAACATCCACATACATAAATAAGAATAAATTGTGTAGTCGTGTATGAAAAAAACAATGAAATTATTATATAAGTCATTGAAAATAAATTGTTGATTTTCAACAACTTGAGTATGTAATGTATCATATACATATATTAAAACTTATATTTTATTATAAGAATTTAGAATAAAAATATTAAAAAAAAATAATTAAATTATAGAGTTGTTTGAAATACTTGCTAATTAAGATGTTTTATAAAGTTAAAAAAAAATGGAATTAAAATTAAATATTCTATTGTACAAATAATATATCAATAAGTGTGATTTGAATTGTTAATTTTAAAGTTGGCTCTATATAGAAATGTGCATCATTTTTTAAAATCAATTGTGCATTTATTCATATTGGATAAAATATTATATATATATATATATATATATATATATATGTGTGTGTGTGTGTGTGTGTGTGTGTGTATTTTTTTTGTTCATTTGTTTATTTGTTTATTTTGTTTTGTTTGGTATAGCACCAACTCACATCCTAAAAATCTTTTTGTAGAGCACTAGATGTGCTAAGAAAAATAGTTCTTATAGACTACCTTGATTCCTCTTTAAAATATTTATTTTTAGAAATGGTCAATCTTTGACTTAGCAATTGTAAATTAAGCTTTTATATCTTTTTCATGGCCAATAACATAGGTTTCAATTAGTTTGTGTATTATATA